AAGTAAATGTATTCTTAGTAACCACAATGCTAAGGAAAGGTTGCAAATGGAAAATAATATTATTTGTGTTTGTGGTGAATATTAAGGTTCGTTTTTTCTGTACTTCTGAACGGCGTGCACTTACTCAAATATTAATGTTTAAAGAAAAAACTAACTGCTTTTCAATAAAATGAATAAATTCCTTTAAATGTACGAATATGTGCTTCTACGTTTATAAAATAACATAAGTATTAAAAATGTATTATTATTTTGATCCGAATTAAAGTTTGTAACATCTCCTCATCAAGCTCATCATTGGTTGACCTACTAATATTATTATGAATAGAGTAAATGCAGGCAAATAGTTGCCAACAAATAGTCAGCAACGAACTTATTTCTCTGTAAGATTAGGCATATGGTCTCTTGATCCTTTCACAGTTACTGAGCAGTGAGAGCTGTAGGAGTTCTAGTGCTAATGCAGGTTTTTGGAAACTTTTGTTTTTATTAAAGAAAGATTGATATACTTATTAGCTGAGCTCCTGGATAGCATGTAGATCATCTTGTAAGAGAATATTCAAGGCGTTCAATTCAAAGGTATGCCAGCCATATACTTGACAGTCCTGGCTTGTTGCCATCAGCTGACAATTGCAGTCGAAGCATGCGGCATCGGCTGCTGGCAGTTGTGCAGTGTTTTGTGTTTTTATTGTGGACTAGAATTTGTGGGGGACTGATGCTTACAAATAAAGATTACAACCCACTCGCATTTTGCGCTAATAACAGATATTTCGCTGCCTCAATATTTTGTTTGTTGTTGCTGTGCGGAGCGCTTTTTTGTGCCACCAACCTGTCACAGACGACTGTCAAAAACTCAACCGCCGCTGACATGACGTCACAATTTTTGTAATACTTTTTTTCTCCTTTCACGCCCATGCCGCAAACATTTAGAGCGGGTAGGTTGCGGCAACTGCAACAGCAACTTGCAACTGCAACAGCAACTCGCAATGCAGCTGCCAATTCGCTGCCATAAATGTCATGTACGGCGTCCGTTTCTATTGCAACAACAAAACGCAGTCCCCAGCGGCTTGACACACACAAAAAAAAAAAAACCAAGTGTTGCTGTTGTTGTTGCTGCTATTGTTGTTTAGGCAGCGGTGGCGGCAACAAACGCCAAAAATCAAATTGACACACAATTTTATCATTCGCTGCACACTCCCCCCTCCCCCCCCCCCCCCCACCCTTCAATAGTCATCTCTGTCTGATCGTCCATCTGTCAAATTCGCATTCCTGCATGCAACATTTCTGACACCTTTGCGGTGACTGACGCGTCAAATGCGTCAAAAACATTTGTGTTTCAGCAACTTTTTCCTTTAGATGTTGCTGCTGTTGCAGCAACCATCGTAGTACGAACAACAACAAAAATAACTGCAGCTACAAATAAATAAAAACAAGTATTGTTTAATTTCTGTGTGGATAGTGTGCATGGGTTTGTGTTTTTAATGCTATCCCTGCATTTATTTGAATGGCATTTTACAATTGCCCTCAAACTCCTCGAGCAACAACAATAACTGAACAATTCTAAATTACAACAAATACACGTACATGGAATGTTAACAAAAATTTGGTGAAAAGTTTAATGAAAACCAATTGCAATTTATACAAATTTTAACATATGCTCGGCACATGTTTATGATTTGTGGTAACTGCTTGTCAGTTTTTCATTTTTCCTTTTTTTGATTTTGGCCAAAATTTCAGCCGCAAGCTTTTTTGTTCCTACTGGGAAAGGTGTGGGAGGCGGGGGGAGGATGCGTAGAGGTTTGATGAAGGAACTGCAGCATCGTTTTTAAATTGTTTTCTTTTTTTTGTCAGAGCTCGCCAGAGAACACAAGGAGGAGAAATGGAAGATATGTACATACATAGGTACAAATGTATACATATATATGCCTCACATCTCAAATAGAAATATGTAGCTATAAGTGTGTATGTTTTAGGAGAAGTGTTTAGAGAACTTTATTTCCAGCATTAGCATTACAAAAATCCCGCACAATTTCTGTTTCGTTTTCTATTTTGTCAACAAGAATTATACATGGCATACGAAAAAATCTGAGTGTAATAGACAGGAGAGGGCGTGGCACATTTCATAATGTTCATAGGTATAGCATATAGAAGTGAATGTCCATCCATCCGCATAAGCTTTGAAAACATTTTCCAAGTCGAAGGAGACTGAAACATAAATATCAGTGTCCGAACTGGCAGAAATCAGTTGAAAACAACTTCCTTTTTCAAGCAAAATCACCTTCAGGTGTAGAGAACTCAGTCTTCTGCTCATTGGGAACCAGCACTGCGTATACTTAACGTGCAAACACTCAAAAACTAAAAGGCTCAATGGAATGGGGAACCCTTCCCAAGCACGATAGAGAGAACACACACACACACACACACACACAAACACAAGTACACAAGCGTGTGAGTTGAGTCGCTCCTACGTTTGAGTGTAAAGGAAATCAAACAAAGCAAGAATTGGCTGCTTGTTCTTCTTTTTTTTTGGAGAAAATGATGAAAATAAAATGCCAAACGAGAAACTCATAAAGATGCGTAATGGTTGCCTGCGCACAAGTATCGGAAAATAATTAGAGGCAGAAGCAAGTGGCGATAGGCAAAGAAAAAGGCAGCGGCAGGGCAACTCGAGAATGTGCAACAAAACGCGACAAGGAGGCGACAAAAAGAAAAAAGCAACAAACATTTAAAGGATATGAGACTTGGCGAGCAACAAGCCCATTGAGCATACGTACATACATACATACATATGTACATATTTACGTTTATTTGTGTGCTTGTGTCTAGAGAGGGGGTCGCATGCAACAATTGTGCTGTCCAGAGTTGGTTGAGGGGGTTGGTGGAGCGAGGTTTGCGGCAGTCGCGTTGTTCGTCTGGAGAGCGATAAGCGACTTGATTTAGCATTTTCGATATGCAAATACAACAATACCAACAACAAAAGAACTACTTATGCCCACTTCAGTTCTAGCACGCGACTGCGACGCATAATGCAGCAGCAGCGCCCACCCCCTACAGCTATTTGCGCGCACACACACACATACACATGTATCTACTTAATGCAACAACAACTGCAGCAGCGCTCTTCATTTTCAATTTCAATAAATAACCTTGATTTAAGCGACAGCGACGCAAGCAGCGAAGCGCCAACGCAAATGCCGCCAAACACCCGCACGGACGTACACGTATATGTGACCAGCTGCGCGCACACACACACATACACACACACGCCGAGACGGACAAAGTAAAAGAGAGACAGCGTGCAGACCGGCCCCCCCACACCCAAACACCTGTCACACGTGCGCTCCAACAATAAGGCGCTCTCTGCCATTCTCTCTCTCGTTCTTGCAAAATATGCTCCAAAATGTTCTCTTTACACTGCGCTCCTCATGCAGCTGTTTCAGTTTCAAGCGTTTCGTATACAACTCTTTTCTCCTTTCTCGTCTACGCCACGGCACACACACATTAATCAAAACAAAACTGCAGTCAATTCCTCAGCTTTACTGTCCAGCGCATGCGTCGACGCTCAGCAGCAGCGACAACAACAAAAAATCAAAGGCGGCCATAAAGCAGCAGCAGCAGCAGCGGAACAATAACACACACACAAACAACAAACATACAATTTGTTGCTCTCGCTGTCGCTGTTGCTATTGCTATTGCTGCGGTGTCGGAGTAGGGCTCTCTTTTTCAATCCGATTCGGGCTCTGCCGCGGCGCTGCTAGTTTTGTTGCTGCTGCTGCCGGTATATATCAATTTAATGGGGAAAATGTCGTCAGCTCTCTTGCGCGCACACAATTTATTTCTCTCTGCTGCTACACGACGTTGAACGTCGCGGCCGCTGTCAGCTCTCAACGTTGTCAGTGTCAAAAAGATGTTTTAGTCGACAACGGCAGCGCTTAACGAAATCATGTGGCATATTTTCATTGTTGGATTTTTCGCAAGAAATTCAACAGCAATACCAACAGCAACAACAACAAGAACGTAGTAACGGCAGCAGCGACGTCGCTGCTGGCAGCGTGCTGCCACAAAATTGCAACGCGCGCGTGTCAATCAGTTTTTGTATGGTGGTGGGCAGCAGCATTGGCAGTTCCTCTATGCCTAGTATTTGAGTTACCGCTACAAAAGAAACAAAGAAACAACCGTTACAATTGTCGTTAGCAAGTCGCGCGCGTGTTCGGACATGCAGGCGCACAGTTCCCACTAGTCCCTATACAAAAAAAAAACACAAACATAAACAACAAAAATAACAACAACAAGAACAACAATGAAGAACTGTTGAAGAACATTTGGCGAAATTCTACAAACGACAGAAACGGCAAAGCAAAAGCAAAAACAAAAATAATAATAAATTTTGTGGCAAGCCGTCAGTAAATCATTAAATTAATAGCCTTGCTCTGGCCACTCTGACACACAAACACACACAGAGACACACATACAGGCACGCATACGCAACGTGCGTGTGTTTGGTTGCCAGTTGCCAGGAAGTGCTTGGAATTGGCGGCAGTTTTGACCGCAGCGACAAACGACAACAATAATAATAACAACAACAACAACAAAGGTGGCTGCAACGCGCCCAACAACTACCAACACATACACGCACACACACACACACAGACACGTAGATTCGCACTCACACAGCCATCCATCGACGAGTTCAGTTCTTCAGCGCGCGCGTTCGTCATCAAGCAGAGGCCGCTGCGCCCCTCCAGCCGCACATTCCGCCCTCCCGCCATCGCCGCCCATTGTGACATTTGATTTATTTGACGTGTGTGTTTTTGATAGAAGCTCAACACGAAACTGACACGTTCACACACACGCGCAAACAAACTCACAGAAGCACACACACACACACACCCTCGCCACCCTCGCCAGCGCCCTCACGCACGCGAAGACGCCAGCCAGCCAGCCAGCCAGAAGAGAAGAAGAAGAAGAATTTATCGTGCGTTTTAGCAAAAATAAAACAAAATCAAATCAAATAAATAATTCGTATTTGTTTTGTTTGATGGCTGAAGACGACAAGAAATTAAATCTGCTCGCTTTGCCTTCGCTCCTCAAGTGTGACACAACAACAAAAACAACAACAACAGCAACAAATCACTGCACCATAAATGCGAGAGCAGCAACAATAAAATAAACAAACAAAGAAGTAACTCCGACAAACACGCGCATCTCAACAATACTATTGACAAAATGATGCTGCACGAGGCTGTCATGTTGGAGATCTATCGTCAGGCGTTGAGCGCAAGGTGATTGTGATTATCAAGTGATTTCTTTGCCCCCAGTTTCTCGCTGTGTATTAGTGCAAATTTTTAGCTTGCAATACGACTATCAAACGAAATCGAACCCCCTAAATAGCAGTTAGTTTGAGCGTAGTTGGTGGTCCTTTGAACTTTCGCTGTTCTTAAAGGGAAAGTGAATAAAATTGTCAATATTATGTGACCAGTGGGCCTTTTTTAAATCATGGCAGTTTTTATATTCTTTGCCCAACGAGTAAAAGGGCCTTTGTTAGTGTTTTCCAACCGTCCGTCTGTCTGTATAAGCCCCTAGGAACTCAGAAAGTATGTGAACTAGAGCTGCGAAACTTGATATAAGGAATGTGCTTCCTAACCCCTCTTTATATGCATATGTGGAGATCTGTAGTGTGTTTATTGGAGAGCTATATTCTCATATTGTTCAGTTCCATCTACGATCTTTTAGCTGTTGTTTTGTAGAGCCGACTTAAACCACAACTAGAACTGAACCCTACCCTTTCAATTAATTCTTTTCAAATACAAGTACTGTTAACAGAAATTAATGAACAATTTATTGTGGTCACATATTAGTTAATTTTATAAGAACTACTGACTTGTGTTGTTCGTTAAAAATGATAGCCAGCAAGGATTTCAACTCTTTCTCTTTTTTTGAGAAATTTTCTTTCAGTTGAGAAATTTGAGTTTGACATCAAATTGAAATTAATATTTTATTTGCTTTATTTATTTATATTTCTTCACTCTCTTTAATCTTTACCTAAGCTCTGTCCTAATAAATTTATCTTTACTAATGTTATAAAGAGGAAAGATTTAATTGTTTGTTTATTTGAATTGAAAACTCCGAAACTACTGGACCGATTTGAAAGATTCTTTCACTGTTGGGAAGCTACACTATGTGTTATATATATATTTATATTTATTGTTAAATTTCATGATAACTTTAATAATTTGTATGACAAAGAGTTCAAAGAGGGAGTATATTATTAACCATCTTTTAACTCTTAGTCATAAAATAATAATTTCAATTTAATGTCAAACTCAAATTCCTTCACTAAACATTGCTATCTAGTCTAAACGTAATGGCATATATACATATATATATGTATTTCAGTAAGCTTATTGGACTTGTTAAACTTAGCGCCATTTATGAAAAAAATAGTACCTGCTTAAATAAAATAGTTATTTTTTAAATGTTTATCAGCACTAAACAACAATTTGTTGTTTATAATGTTTAGTGAAAATGTATTTTAAATAAAGTGTGTGAGGCAAGGAAATGTTGTGTGAGGAAAATCAAAGCTCTCTCTCTATCCTTCCACTTAGCAGTGATATGTTTCCATTTATTCAAGCCAGTCTCTTCTGGTTTATAGGGTTCGTACAGGGCGTTCTTTCTGTAACAATTAAGCCCCTATCTGACTTATCGAATGTATTTTGTTGCAGTGAATTGGCGAGTCCGCGGTGCCAGTCCCGGGAATCCAATACTTCGGCGACAGCGGGCGATGCACGCTGCCCATCCACCGAATCCCATTGCTCGGCCAATGATTGTTTGACACCAGCGCCAACGCCGACACCCACATCGCCGGTGGGATTGCCGCTGACGGCAACGCTGGCGCCCGCAGCCGCTGCCGCTCTGCTTCCGCCACAATCGGCCGCCATGGCTGCCTACCTGGCAGCGGCCCAACAGAATCATTTGCTGCTGACAAACCCACTGGCGGCAGCCGCATCTCTGGTACAGCAGGCCACGCAACAGTCGCGCTCCCCGGACGCTGCATCGCCGCAGAGTGGACAGCAAGAGGAGGCGCCCGCTCTGGACTTTAGCAGAAAGCGCACGCCCAGCGATTTTGAGGCCAACGCTGGCAGTGAGGATGAGGAGGAGCAGCGCGAACAGGAGGCGGGTGAGGCGACCAACGACGATGGCAACTGTCCACTAGATCTCTCGGTCAGCACACGCAAGCGACCGACACAAGAGGAGCAGGATGCACCGACCAGGAAGACGCCTCGTAGCAGCGACTACAAGTCCCCTTTGCCACCTGGCACCTGGGTGCCTCCTCTGAATCCGTATCTAGCTGCTGTGGCGGCGGCCAACAGCATGTCGCCCAAAAGTCTGGACTGGAATGGCGCCAAGATGGCAGGAGCCGGCAAACTGGCCCCCAATGAGGCTACAAAGGCGCTGGAGAAGATGACCGAGATGAGCAGACTGGGAAGCGCTGTGACGTCTGCCAGCAGCGAGGAGTCTTCAACATCGGCGAACCGATCGGGCAGCAGTCGCCACAGTGCCTGGCAGTCCCATTGGCTCAACAAGGGTGCCGATGCGGCCAAGGATGTCTTCAAGTGCGTGTGGTGCAAGCAAAGCTTTCCAACGCTCGCCACCCTAACCACACATATGAAGGAGACCCAGCATTGTGGCGTCCATGTTGCTCCTCCCACATCTGGGGGCAGCAACAACGTCTCGAATCAAACACCGACACGTCCGGCAACAGCTGCTACGTCCACTTCGTCCAGCTCCTCCTCGGCGTCTTCAACAGCATCATCAGGCTCGGCCAAATCCGAACTCAATATGCTCATCAAGGAGACCATGCCGCTGCCTAGAAAGCTGGTGCGCGGCGCCGAGCAGACTCGGCAGATTCTCAAATGCATGTGGTGTGGCCAGAGTTTCCGCTCCCTGGCGGAGATGACGAGCCACATGCAGGAGACCCAGCACTACACCAATATCATATCGCAGGAGCAAATCATCTCGTGGAAGTCGGGCGATGAGAAACCGTCTTCGGAGCGGCCAGCCAATGGAGGTGGCAGCAACGCGGTGGCATCCACTACCGCGCCAACACCAACCGTCAGCGCCGTCCTCACGTGCAAGGTGTGCGATCAGGCCTTCCCCACCCTGAAGGAGCTAAGCACCCATATGGCCCAGCAGGCGCATTACAAGGAACCCCCCAACAACACGAGCGTTTCACCGCCAGCCCCACCCGCACAGGTGCCGGCTTCGAAGCGGGGCGGACGTCAGGCGCGTGAGAAGCGCAAGAAGTCGTTGCCGGTCAGAAAACTCTTGGAGATGGAACGCAATGCAGCACATGACTTCAAGTCGGCAGCCAGTTTGGACTCGGCCCTGAAGCCACTGCGCGACTTTGCCGCCGCCACCAAAATCACGTGCGAGAAATGCGGCAGCAAGATAGAGACGGCTCTGTTTGTGGAGCACATCCGGAAGTGTCTGGGGGACAGCATACCCATACCTCCCCGTCGACCGCCGCCCACCTCGGAACGCCTGCCCAGTCCAAGGACGCCCAGCAGCCCACTGTGCGAGAAACCTGGCATGGGATCCAGTGGAGCACCTTCCGTTCTGAATGCCATTGAGCAGCTCATCGAGAAAAGCTTCGAGACTCGCGGACGCATGGGAGTCCCTCATGGGGGTGGCTACGCAGATGCGGGCACGCCGCTGGGTGCCAGCATTCTGAAGCGTCTGGGCATCGACGACAGCAGCGACTATACGAAACCATTAATGGATGTCCAGACCATGCAGCTGCTACGTTCCTATTCGGCGCGCGATCGCAGCGCCAGTGAATCGAGCTCTACGAGCCGTGTGGACTCCGCATATACACCTGAACGTCAGCAGCCGACGCCCAGACGCACGCCCGAAGTGCCACCGCCGCCACCACCTGCTCCGCCAACGACCATCAAGTCGGAGCCGTTGGATAACACAGAGCTGGACAACGTCAGGAGCCATATAGCCGTGAAGAAGGAGTTCAGCATGCAGGCGCAGGAGCAAGTCGAGGCGCCACGCACGCCACACAGCCCCAGCGTGGCAAGTGAACGTTCGAGCACCCCTCCGCCTCCTCCCGCGGATACTGGCAGCTTGTTGGCCCTCAATTCCATGTTCGATCAGCTCAATAGTCTGAAACAACTGGGCAGCGAGACGAACAACAATAACAACAACAACAACAATCAACATCAAGTCGCCGCCAAGAAGCCGAACGCTCATCCGCTGGCCGCTCTCCAGAAGCTATGCGAGACGACAGATCCGCCGGCGGCAAACACGCGCAGCTCCTCGACAGCTTCGGCGACGGCCAATGGCAACGATCTGGTCGCCTTCAGCTGGGCCTGCAACGAGGCCGTGCTTAGTGCCGCCGATCCATCGATTATCAAGTGCTCCTTCTGTGATACACCGTTCTGCTCCAAGGGCGCCTATCGCCACCATCTGTCTAAAGTGCACTTTGTGAAGGACGATGGCGGCGGTGAATCCCCAGCCGCCTCTGTCGCCGCGCAGTCGCCCAAATCGGCGCTCACATCATCACCGAAATCAAGAAGCCCGATGGCGCAATCGCCCAACACACAAGCCAACACACATCTCCAGCCCCAAACACCCACCATCAATCCCTATGACGAGAGTCCGCAGTCGAAGTTTCTAAAGTACACGGAGCTGGCCAAGCAGCTGTCCTCGAAGAATGCCTAAAAGTCCGATTCAGAAGGGGAAGAACTTCATCAACAACAACATGTCACAACAACAAACATACAGACACACTCGTTTGTGCATTGATTTCTGATCGAGAGCACAAGCAGAAGAGAGCGTTAACTGTGTGCTCTCTCCTGCATGTTCGTGCTCTCAATATTTGCGCTCTTTGCAGCACTTGCAGCAGCTCGTCACAATTTCCCCTACTTTGCTGAATTGATTTAATACAGCAGAGCGTAAAATTCCCCAAGCAGAAAGGCCAAAAGTCAAAAGGGGCCAGTCGTTCGTCACTTCATCAATGCGTCAGGCAGACAATTTTTATTGTTTACCAATCGCGTTAGCTTGCCATCGCACTCGCACTCAAGCGTGCAGGCCAAAATTCAATTACACCACCAATTTGACGAACTGCTGTCCATCAAGCACACCAACACGCACACGCACAAATACTTTTACACTTTCATGTGCATGAACTACTGTTGCAGCAACGAGCGCGAAAGAGACGCCTGTAGTATGCATCGCGTGTAGTTTGACGAAAGGCGACGACAACAGTTCGTCAAATCAGTCGAAACGCAAAACTAAAAACACAAAGCCAAACGGCAAAAACAAAATACAAAAGCAGACAGCTGACCATGCGATTGGATGGCGGCACACGAGCAGCAACAAAAACAACACAAATACAACAACAACAACGGTAACTGTAACAGTGCGCTCAAGTAGGTGGGGAACTTTTTGGCCTCCATTGAGTGTAAAATGTGAACAGGTTTGAGCGCAGAGGAGAGCAGAGCAGAACAAAGCGAACCGAATCGAATCGAGTTGAGTTTGTCGGTGTATTGCCGTTTTAGTAGAAATTATAAGCAGAATGTAAAGAGCGTGCCAAAAAGTAAGCAAATATGCAAATATATACATATTACCAATTAAGTCATTACAAACAAGAAACGCAGTATACGTAACATTTTTGAAATATTAATCTTAAAAAGTTAACCTCATTTTGAAAGGGCAACACAGCAATTACATTTCAAATTGTATTTGGCGCCAAAATGAAACTGTCTACCAGAATTAAATGAAATGTAGAGCAAGCGACTTGAGGAGAATTCTACATCAATACAATGTACATAACTAGCTCTTAGCACTTTCCTTCCACATGCCTAAAACAAAAGTTAAATAATAATTAAAATATGATAAAGTATTTACATAACTACTACTACTATACGAAAACAAATAACTGATAGATACGAGAGGGAATAAATCAAATCAAAATGTAAGCACGGCCGTAATTGAAACGCATGTATACGCATTAATTATAAATTATACAAAATTATAGAGTACGAGTATATACAACATATGGATACGAAAATCAATCGCGATCAATCTCAACAATAACACAAATGTATACCTACCTATACGATATTTAACCTAAGATTAAACCTAAGACTTTCAGCAAGAGGGTAGAAAAGAAGAGGAGGAGGAGGAGATTGAGGAGGGGAAACGAAACGAAACTAAAATGTAAAACATTTCATCAGCGTCGTCGTCTCATCATCACCAGAAACTATTTAAAAAACAAACTACATACTATATATATTGTAATTGTACGACTTGTATTTGAGTTTTTGTGATATTATTTTATAAAAACCATTTGCTTCCCTTCCGCCTAGAGTGTAAGTCTTTGCCAGTGTTGGGCAACAACATGCAACATTTCCTCTCCCCAACCGAACACTTGGATTTTAGAACTTTTTAAAAAAAAATATGTACGATATACTGGAGCGTTTTTAGATTCGATTGGTGTGGGCAGCCAAAATTCAATTACAAAACAAAAAGCGCCAAATAAAATTATCTTCAGAATTATAAACACAAGCAACCGCTCGCTCAACAGCTCAATACAGAAAAGCAATTCAATAAAAACCAACAGTTGTATGTTTCAAATTGCAAGAAAAATATAAATACACTTCACTCTTATTTAATGGACTTTGGACAATGCTATACTTTTCAGATCTACAGCATATTTATGAGTATTTCGTATTTAAAAATCACCTGGACAAGAGTAATTCAGCAATGGATTGAAGTACCCTCGCTGATGAACGCGAGGCTGCAGATAAATTTGAATTTTCAACAAAGATTTTTCCACATTATATGAACAGCCCTAAATAAAAGCATATCAAGAGTAAAGAGTTCAGAAACTGCAGACCGCAGATACGGGAAGTGGAGCAGTTAATAAACGGGAAGGTAAGCAGAATTGATGCATTTACGAGAAAAATGGATAGCTGCATGAGTCCAAAATTTGATGTTGGAGGATGGATGGACAAGTTTGAGGAACACAAAGGCTTGGCAAAACTTTAATAACAATAGTGTTATTTAAAAACCCCTTTCGGATTAAAATGTTAAAGTTAATGTATCTTTAAAAACATTTCCATTATATCTTAAAACTGGTTGTTTCTTTTTAATGATAAGCTAGGAAGTTGTGTGAATTGCTTTAAAAGCTACATCAAAGGCAGATTCTTATAAAAGGGATATATTTTGTTTACCCCAATTGAAAGCAAGCGAAAAAAGTGTATTTCCAGCTTTGTGCTCGTTTATTTCTACTAGATGGGTTGAGAGGTCAGCTAGAAAATTTGAAAATAGTATATAGCCAAAAAATCCACTAAGTTATGAGTAACATTTTATGGCATTCTTATTTTTATTTTATTTAATTTATCGACAATCAGGGCTGTCAATTTGAGAAAGAAAATATAAATAACGAATCCGAAGGCTTTGGAATAACGTGAAATCTTTAAATATATGTATATTTTCTATCTTACTGCTAGATTCGGAGTCAGGCAACTGAGATGAGATCAGAAATACAACCTTCGCAAAAGGGTTTTTATGTTGATATAAGATAAGATTTATCTTATAAGATGGTATAAGATAAATACGAGTATAGCCGCATTATTTTGTATAGCTTCCCTAGGATCGTTGCAAACTTAAGCTTTCATGGAAAACCTGTTTTGTTTATAAAGACATCTAAAGAATCCTTGATATTCATGAGTTTCTGCTGCATTACTATATTTCATGATAATATTTTTAATTTCATAAATACTGGTTCTCTTACAATATAATAAAGCTGTCATATGACAACAATTTCCAGTTGATTTTCTATTGTTTTTGTTTAGCAATAAGAATTCGTAAGAAAAGTTATGCTGCACTTCAAAATCATTCAAATATAAAAATCATTTAATACAAAAAAAAATAATAATATCAAAATTATTATTATTAAATTATTAAAATCGAATTATTTATTTATTTATTATTAGAATACTAAAAAGTAGTTTTTTCGAGTAAAAGAATGTATTTGCTTTAATTTGATAATTTGTACGTATTTTTAATTATTTTCCAATTGCGATTTAAACTCTGTTTTCGACCTCCTAAGCCGTACTGCCCTTTATTGTAGGCGTGCCTGGCAATTCTAAATACTTAGTATTCGTCCTGCAATATATCTCTGGCTCGTGCCAGCTCGGAAGGTGGCGGGTAATGGCATTTTCCGCTCAATGCACTCCTAATTATTTATAATACGAGTGGCTTGCATTGCGGGGCTCCTAAAAGGACATACTATACGTATGTACAAGTATAGCGCTGGTTGTTGTTGGCCCAGTGTACTAAATCCCAGTTAATTGTGTGGCCAAAACACGGCATATCAAATTGTAAACTAATATTTGCTAATAAACATGCAGAGTTAATTAAACCTGAATTATGGGGCCGTGTAAGGCAGGATGCAGGATGCGTGCCAACATGCGCGAAATGCGAACGCGAATCGCTGATTTATGGCCGACAAAGGATTAAGACATGCTGCCGACCAGATATGAACTTCCTAAACACACACACACATACCTATTACTAAATACATATGCATGTATATGTGGATGAGGATATATAGCACATACAAGTATATATATGTGTGTGTGTGTGTTGTGTTGGCATTTGCGACCACGTTGATGACGATCCGACGCCAACAAAATCTCCTCGAAAACTTCAATTGCCAAAGGATTCATTTTCACTTAAAATTTATGACGTGTGTGCGCCAACCCCCGCCACCCACTCCCGCCCACTCCCACCCACCACTCACACATACACATATGCCCCACATACGGAATGGGGAGGGGGTTGCTGCTGTTTGGTGTCACATTTGTGTTTAGAGATAATTTTTGGAAAATGTTTCAAAAACTTTTCTGCCCGGCTCTGTTATTCAGTCTAGGCTTCCTTCTTCATTGACGTTCGTTCGTTCGTTTGTTCAGCGCGCGCGTTTTCTTTCTCAAAGTTCCGAGCGTGGCACCTTTGGGCCGCCCACTGCCCCCACCCCACTACCCAGCTATGCGGCTGTTTCGCTTAATGAGATACAAACACATAAATTCTCAAAACTGTCATGCATCGCACATAACGCTCTTCTTTTTCCCTTTTTTGATAAGCCACGGCAACAAAACTGCCGCTTCACACTGACACTGACACGGACACTGACGATGTGTTCGACTGTGTGTGTGTGTGTGTGTGTGTATGTGTCTATTAGTGCATCTGTGTCTGCGTGCGTTTTGAAAGTTGGCCTCCGTGCGTGTGTGTGTTTGTGTGTGTGTGTGTGTGTGTGTGGGAGCGCACGTTGGCGTTTGTTTGTGTGACAAAGACGCTTGAGGCGTTGACGGTAAAATCAAATTTATATACCAGAATGTCATGTGGCAATACAGTCGATGGCAAAAGTAGATGAACACAATTGTCTAATTGAAATACAAGCTTACAGGTATACTCTAAACTATCTTTTCGATGTTAAACAGATACACGATTGACAGATATAGCCATAGATTAATAAATACATTTGCACATACATAGATACATAGATAAAAAAGGAGTAGATAATTAATAAGATAATAATATAGTTGGGAGATAGACTGGAAAGAATTAGACATATGTATAGATAAATATATAGATATAATTAGATAAATGAATAATAAATAGAATAATAAAAAAATATATAAGGTAGGAGTAAGAGAGATGATAAATCAATAGGTATAAGGTATAGTATATCTATCTTATGAAACAGAAATTGATAGATAGATAAATATAAAATAAATAGATGGATGGATAAATAGTTAGATAAATATATAGAAAATCTAAATACATATTAGATATATAGGAAGAAGAGCTATAAAACAATACATATAAGATATCTATCTATCTTAAGAAAGAGAGATTAATGGATAGATAGATATAAGATAAATAAATGAATAGATAGATGGATAAATAGCTGGATAAATATGTATAAAGAAAAACTATATAGATATTAGATACATATGTGGAAAAGCTATAAATCAATACATATAAGATATCTACCTATCTTTAGAAAGAGAGATTGATGAATAGATAGATATAAGATAAATAAATTAATAGATAGTTAGATAGCTAAAGAGGTGGATAAATAGGTAGATAAATCAGTTATTAGATACATAGAAGAAAGGGCTATAGAAAATAAAAGATAGTTGGATAGAGAGATCGATAAATAGACAGATATATAGACATGGGATCTATGTGTATATAAATTTAGTAAGAAATGGCTAAATAAATATAACAAGTAATATTACAGATATATAGACAACTAATTTAATAGATCGGTAAATAAACAAATAGAAAGAATGGACCATAAACAAATATTCTATTCATAGATAGTTAGATAGATAAAGATAAAAATATAGATAAATATATAGAAAAACTATACAGATATTATATACATAGTAGGAGGAAGGGCTATAAATAATAATAGATAGTTGGATAGAGAGATAGATAGATAAATAGACAGATATGTAGACATGGGATCTATGTGTATTTAAATTTAGTAAGAACTTGCTAAATAAATATAACAAGTAATACTATAGATATATAGACAACTAATTTAATCGATAAATAAACAAATAGAAAGAATGATCCATAGATTAATGGCCTTTATTAATATAAAATATTTATAAAAACATAGATAAATTCAGAGAGAAATGCTTTGACATATGAATAAATTATGAATAGATAAATAATTGGGCTGATACGATGATTAATAGATCGGTAAATAAATAAATAGAAATAATGACCTTTATTAATATAAAATATTTATAAGAACATAGATAAATTCAGAGATAAATGTTTTGACATATGAATAAATGATGAATAGATAAATAATTTGGCTAATATGATATGCTAGCTGGATAGTTTATAGCAAATAATTTGATATCAAACAAATATGCCTTTCCAACCACATTTAAACACAAGCCCTATTCCTATTTCTATACAAAATCTGTCATTGTTTGCGCAGTTTTAAGACTCTTTTTTGTATAATGAATAAAAATAACTAATTTGACATTTCATTATCGTCCGCAGGTAATTGTATTTATTACGCATACGCCACATTGGATCAGTTGCGGGTGAGTACTTATCAAACATACTGTAGTCTTGCGCAAGGACGCATTCAAATCGGTGTAAATGCTTGGGCACAAAGCCCGCTCCTCTAATGAGCAAGATATGCCTGTGGAATTAGCCAAGTGAGGCAGGGAGCGAGACATAGTGGGGGAACGCCACAAAAACTACAACATTGGGGCCACAGCTATGCTGTCTACGATTCCGCTCCATGTAATGCCCTTACTCAGATACTTCTGCACATCTGATTATGGGGTGATTTATGAGTATTTGTGACATGGCTCCACACGTTCCCAATACAACCATATTGAACCTTTTTACAAATTTATAATCAACTACAGTTTTTTAAAGCTTCTTCTATATCTCGAGAGTGATGCATGATCGGATTAAAATATAGATGAAGCCTGCTTTAAATGGGGGTGTGATCTATGAAGTGAAAACTACACATTGCAA